TTATATATTGCGGTGATTCGCGTGCGCCTTAAATTCTAAAAAAAGAAGCGCCAACCTAAATCTCCTGGGTCGGGCTGGAAGACGGATCGGATTTACGAGGTTTACGCAAATCAATTGACTGTTTAACCCTTTCCACGTAAGCAATCGAACACATGATCGGATTCCACAGTCAATAATTTCTCCCACGAGTGGCCGCGCCTTAAACGCTTTATTCGCAATATCTGTTGTGCTGTCACGCTCTTGTTTCAGTCATCGAGGCGTGGGTTGCTAGCAGTCCGAATGGCTGCTGCCAGCGCTGTAACTAGTTCTTCAATCTCCACCTCGCTCCGGCGCATTCCCCGAAACTCCAGTTTTAGGTTTTCAAAGGTCCTCCTCTCCGCTTCTCCAAGTTGTGGCTCGAGTCCTGAGCGCCCTCCAGCGGCCGTCAGAAGCAACTACACAGGGATTCGACTGGCTGAGACGGTCGAGCTTGGCTTTGAGAGGACTCGCGTCGACTCCTGGATCTCCTCGCGGATTCCGGTCATAAGTCGAGCTCGGGTGCAGTCCAGCATCCGCTCCGGTCTCGTCACTGTCAACGGCCGCATTATAGATAAGGTGATGCGGGATCCCAATAACTGTTGTAATGCACGTTGCAATGCTTTATTTTGTTCAGAAACTCGAGAAATCTTTGGTGGGTAAAATGATCCTGATTTTTAATGTATGTAAATTCCCATCCCCCCTAAAAAGAACCAGTGATTAGTCTTGAGATTTGCAGCTTGATGATCCTGATTTATTCCATCTGTAGTTTCCTTTTTTTTGTGTGGATATGTTGAGATTTGTAATCCCTTCAATTTAGCAAGCCTCTAAAGCTTTCTAAATTTGTACAGTTGACAAATTGATTGCTAAGATTACTTATTTATGATTGAAGACATTGCCTGGGCATCTTGCCTTCTTAATTTGGTTCGTTTATTTAAGTTCTTGAATAACTGTACGATGCAGGTTTCACATATCCTAAAAGGAGGGGACAAAGTTAGTTGCGTGGTTTGCGAGTTGGAACCATTAAAGGCGGAACCAG